GGGGTCTTATACCACAGTGGTAGTGTCCTTAACTCTGGGATAGGAGGCCTGGATTCGAATCCAACCTGCTCCAGAGGTGTGTTGTAACAACTCTGAACGGGTTGATTAGAAAATAACTCCCAGGAGCAAAGACTGCAGCAATATCCCAAGGATGAGGTGATGGCCTTAAACAGCCACAATCTTATTCCTTTGTGCGAGGAAAGACACCACCAAGTAGCATTTACCCATAATTCATGTTGCCTTCAATTTGCAAGGTCTTTTTGATGCCATACTTGGTCAGATACAACCTTGATGTCAAGGGCAGTCACTTCTCCAAATGAGCAATTTTGAACGTGTTTGAACCAAAGCTGTAATGAGGTTTGTTGCTGAGAAACTCTAGTTATTGCTCTGTAGGTGCCGTTTGACAGCACTGTCGACAATACCTTCCATTACTTTGCTGATGATTAAAGCAGATTTAGTAATTAGCTGGATTGGATGTCACCAATTATTTTGCCCAGTAAGTACCTGGGCATTTTTTTTTACATTGTCTGGCAGATGCCTGTTGCAGCTGTACCAGCTTGGCTAGGTCACTGTGATAAGAGAAACGTACTGGTAATCAAATCCCACTACTCCATCAGTCAGTCCATTAGCATAAATGTGTTCATTCAATCACCAAAATGACCAATTGATTCCCTTTTAATCCAGAATGAAAGATCTCACCGGGATTCTTTAATGAACTCAAAATAACCTATTTATTACAGCACAGATCTTGCTTTTAAAAGCAAGTGGCAAATACTGGGTAACATCTAAGTTACAATCTGGAAATAGAACTAAATCTCCCCAAAACCAAAGACAGACACAATCACATTACTCAAAAAGACAATTGTCTCTGCAGGGACTATTGTCTTTTTGAGTAACGTTTAATGACAAAAGGCAAAAGGAAATAACACCCCTGTTGGCCAAGGGTTTGAAAACAAAGGGTAGAATTTAATTACTTCCACATTCCATCAAGTTTATTGGGAATGAAAAATAACTACTGACTGTCGTTGACTGACAGAAGGTCTTCAGTTTAAATTGAAATCAAGCTGGATCTGAGTCTTGTGAATGTGGCCACACTTCAGTATTTTAGGATTTATAAGGTAGCCATAATTTCAGATATGTTCTGAGGAAGAATCACCGGACCCGAAAACTCTGTTTTTTCCTTCACAGATGCTGCCAGACCTGCTGAGCTTTTCCAGCAACTTTGTTTTTGCTCCTGATTTACAGCATCTGCAGTTCGTTCAGTTTTCATAATTTCAGATACTTGGAAGCTTTAACACATTCCCAGATGGCTCTGCCTAGAGAGATGGAGAAAGACTTGCAGCTCCAAACTAACCAACCATTATTGCTAGGTGACAATTTGCAAAGAGGCTGTCATAGTTTTTTTTAAACAAGGCTTTCATAGGAACATAGAAAAAAGGAGCAGGACTTAGGCTATTTGGCCTTTTGAGCTTGCTCCACCATTCAATATAATCATGGCTTATCATCCAACTTAGAGCACTGAGTTCCTGATTTCTCACCAGACCCATTCATCACTTTACTCCTAAGAACAATACCAAACTTTTTTTTAAAAAAACATTCGATGTTTTGGCCTCAACCATTTTCTGAGGCAGAGCATTCCGCAGACTCAGCGCTCTTTGATTGACGAGATTTCTTCAGCAACTGAAGGCCATAAACCCAATCTCTTATCAACCTAAACACTGGCTTATCTTTTCTCCACTTAGCTTTCTATAAACAGCCAATTAACTGCAGAACACGTTAAACATTAGATTTTATTTCCAACAGAGAATGTAGTGAACCCTTTTCAAGCCAAAGTGCCCAGGCAGTTCCGTATCTTCCAGTCTTTCACGTAGTTCTTAGAAATAGAAAATATATTCCCAACATGCCTCCTCAGGGAGCGACAATAACCACTGAATTAAGCTCAATGTTTGGGTTTTGTGAATGAATCCACATATAGCAGATTCAATATAGTATAGATAGCAGATTCTCTTAAAGATAAATGACTACCATATTCAAACAAAGGTGTAGCCATGTAATGCTACATAACCTTATACTGATGGTTTGGCCAAAAAAACTGAACAAGAAGGTATTTGTGCAAAGGGAACAAAATCATTCACTATCTACCAATACAAAGTTTGTTATGTTTTTTTCAAGTTATAAACCAAGGAGTCCCTTGAGGGCAGCAATGCCTCTGCACCATCATTGGCCCATGGTTCTGATTGTCCACGCATTCTCATGCGAAGCTCTCAAACCCATCTGCTATCTGCTTCTCTTGAGTCTGTCTACCTCATTTTGTTGCTGCCTGGTTTTTTCTGCATTGGCTTCCTCAGTACCTGTATCAGACTCTGCTTATTCCTCATCAGAGGAGACAGGTATCTGGTCCGTTTCCCCCTCATGTAAGTTCGCAGTCCCCTCATTGAGCCAGGTTGTGCAGAGCAGAGCAAACATTCATTTTTCAGGAGACGCTGTCTCAGGAGGGCTGGAGTGCTCCTCCTGAACTATCCAGCCACTGGAAGCACATCTGCAGAAGGCTAATTGTCTGCTCACTGATAGCTCTCATAGATACATGGACAGCAAGGTAGTGCTTTTCAGCATCAAAGGGTTTCACACTGTTGTCTTTAGCCCTGTCTTCCAGAATACAGCTGGTCACCCAAAAGCCAGCCCTACAGATGATGTGGGGGAGTAAATACTTGAGGAACCTGGGAGTTGTATTGAACGTAAGCATCAGGCTAGTTCCTTTGTTAGCGGGTGCATTGCTACAGAAATTGTTGCCTATGTTCACACATAAGCCAGACATTGAAGGAGTGAAAACCCTTCCTGTTCAAGAATCTGGCTCAATGGTGTTGCATGTGTTCAGTCAATTTCTCCATTTCCCTCCATATTCCTGTTCTTCCCATTGATCCCACTCCCATTCAGGTCCCATGCCTAGCCTCATCCTTACATTGCCCCTTATTCAATTCACTTGCTTTTTCTCCCCACCCCCCCAACCAGTGCAGCTAATTAACCCATTGTTTTCCCCACCCTCAATATACACCTTCTACCATTCCTTGTCCCCCCTGTCATTATGACTCTGTCCTCTACTTCCCAGGATTTTTCCAATACCTCCAACTATCAAAGCCTTTAAGTTCCCATTCCCCATAGTTCCTTTCCACGAAGCCTCCCTCACCTTTCTTTATTCTTTTATTCATTCAGGGGATGAGGGCGTCACTGGCTAGGCAGCATTTATTGCCCATCCCTAACTGCCCAGTGGGCAATTAAAAGTCAGCCACATTCCTGTGGGTTTGGAGTCACATGTAGACCAGACCAGGTAAGGATGGCAGTTTGGAGACAGTAAGAACTGCAGATGCTGGAAGCTAGAGTCAATAAACGTGGACCTGGAAAAGCACAGCAGGTCAGACAACATCAGAAGAGCAGGAAAGTCAACGTATGGGCCAAAACCCTTTGTCAGGACTCAACTGCCAGGATGGCAGTTTCCTTCCCTAAAGTATATTAGTGAACCAGAGATGGGTTTTTACGACAATTGACAGAAATTTCCAACGATCTGTGAAACTTTTCTGTTGAGACCCCTTTTCTCTGAAGCTTTCTTCTAACTTAAGCCTCACCTTCATATCACATTCCTTTTTCAATTGATTCCCACTTGCTTGCACCAGTCAGGTTTGATGATGTCAGCTACTGTAGTTGCTTCACTGGGGCAGGCTAATGGGCCTGGTCAGCTTTCACCTTTCATACTACTTAGGAGATACAGCCTTCTGATGAGCTGATGACCTGGCGAGGCTTCAGCCTTTGAACTGTAAGTGTTTGTACAAAGAAGCAGCTTTGTTATGAAGGAACCAAGTAACAGAAGAGGTTTGTATTCACCAGAGCTTGAAAGAACACTACCCTGTGAAGTACACACCTCATATGGAGAGTTGGGTTTGTGGACACGGTTTCTGTTTATGATTCCAGCAGGCTGGGGTATTATTGAGTATTCAAGGCATGCTAATGAATGCAAAAGGTTTTCCTGACCATGAAAGCTATCCTGCCTGAAATATGCTGAGAACTTAATAGCAAAACTCTAACCTACTGTTGGAAACAGAATTTCAGCCTACTATTCAAGTTCCCAGAGTCTATCCTTCTAAAAGGTCTAGGTTGTCCCATAGGATTCAGCCTTTAGCTCTGTTTCTCTCTGCACCGAGGCTGCCTGTCCTGGTCAGTACTTCCAGCATTTTGTGTTTTTATTCAGGTTTACAGCATCTACAGCATTTTGCTTTGTAGGTACAAGGTTCTCTTGATGCCTGCAGCGATGAGGATAAAGTCTTCAGGAAGGATGAGCCAACTGACCATGGTACAGGAAGCCATTCCATTAGGGGCGCGAGATGGAACATACTAGAGACAGCATAGTCATTAGAAGACATTGTCATCTGCAAGTGTGAATTGGAGTACCCAAAGGATGTGTTACCTGCCCAATGCCAGGGTTAAAGACATCTTCCGACTGGAGACATTGAATCCTGAGCTGTCGCAGTCCAAAATGGCAGATGTGGAACAAGGCATGAGGATCTTAGCTGTTCGAGAAGTTGCATTTCAAATTAATAAGCAGAACCGCCAAAGTAATAATCTTTGAATTGTTACCTAACCCAAATGCAATTGGCAGGTGTTTAAACAGATCAAGAAGTTATTTGTATGACCAAAAGAATGGTGGGGAGACTGGAGTTTTGATCCATGGGGCACTGACACCAGTAGTGGAGGAACAGTGAGTTGTTCCATGACAATAGACTCCACTTAAACGTGACTTTGAGCTAATGTCCTTGCGAAGTGTAAAACTAGGGCTGCCAATGGAGAAATATGTAGAGAGGGTACAACGCATGGAAAATTTATAAACCTGAGGAGCAAAGTGAAGGCCAGAGTAGAGTCGTGCAATACTCCTAAGTAGAGATAAACATTGTGCCAGGATGGAAACAAAATAACTGTGCAACCGTGACATAAGGTCAAATCAAGGAAAATGGTAAAGGTAGATTTTTTTTTTTAATCAACCTGTTCAAACAAAATGATAACGGTAAAATTAGGAGTGCTTCATGTGAATATACAATGCCAATACAAAAGACAATTAGTGATAACTGTGCTTGATCTAATGACCATCTCAATAACATAGCTGCACAGAGACCAAGGCTGGAAACTAAATATTCCAGGGTACCTGATATTTCAAAAAGAAACAGGCAAAATGGACAAGGCTAGATATGAAGGGTTAGCATCAGGGTCAGCAGTTTGGAAGATCTTGACTTTGAAGAACAGTAGTACCAATATGGATAGAAAAAGAAATAAACATGAGTGAGAATAATTTATATGATCGGAGTTACACTTTTGGATAATGAATCAATCAATAAATAAGAGGAAGGTAGCAAAAGCCTGAAAATTTGTAGTCAACTTGGTATCTTTATTACAACAATATTTTTTTAAATACAGGATTTCTAGCTATTCTTTCACCAAAGACTCTAACAAAATCAAAACTTTGCACTCCAGAAATTACACAAAGCTGTCCATGTGTAAAATCAGACCTCAGGATACAAACACAAATTTTGTCAAGAATCTAGCCTTGTGGCTTTTTAATTATAATAAAAATAAGACTAAGTTGGGAATTGTTTGCTCCTGAGTTGAAAAGGCAGTTTTACATATGATGGGATTCAATTTATTTTTAAGGAATTAAAAGCATTACTTCCTTGAAATTTTCTTATCATGTAATTTTAGCATCTACCATCAAGATTCCTGTTCCATCACAAAATTCTTGTTTAGGATTCAGCAACATTATTAACTGTTCCTTCCTGGACTTTAAGATTGTGTAATGGCATGGTCATTGGAGGTGGACAGTAGAAATGCTGGAGATTAAAAAATTTTATAATCTTTATCTATAGAACCAACACTGGTGCGTCTATTTAATTAACCTAACCGCACTTAACATTTTTTCATTCAAATCTAGTGAATTTTAATTTTCAGCATGTAGAAAAGCTTCCAATTGATAAGTACTAACAAATAATTATTCTGATTTTACCATACATAATTGATTCCACTATCTCAGTCACTGGATGGCATCCACCTCTAAATCATTCCAATTCCATTCCTTCTACCCTACTAGTGTCATCCCACGTTTGGACTCCCATCCAACATGGAAGAAAATTATCTCCAGTCTTGGTACTGTTGTTGTTGGACTCTCTTTACCTTCCACTGCTTACTGTTCTCCATTATCATTGCCTTATCCCAATGTCCCTACCCTGTGGAGAGGTGCTACAGATCTCCATAGGCCCCAGGTGCCTTCCCAGCTAAATGAACCTACCAAAGACATACTGCTTAAACTAGTCCACAAAACAATCGTTTGGACAAAGCTATTATTATAGATTTTATCAAAAAACAATGCAGTAATCATGAGGGACTTAAAACTTCTGATAAATTGGATAAATCTAATCAGTAAAATTAGTTTAGAAGATAAGCTTATAAATTCCCAAAATTATACATCTTTGAACAACCCAGGGAACAGGCAACTTTATGTCAGGGTTAATTAGTAATCTCATAGTAATGGATCCTCTGGGAAAGAGTGATCATATGACAGAACTCACTCTGAGTTTGAGTAACATATATAAAGTCCCAAGCGAGAGTACTGAACTCAAAGTCAAATACACAGGTATGAGTGTCAAACTGACTGAGGTAGATTTGAAAATTAGGTTAAGAGATACAATGCTAGATGAAGACTTGTGAATATTGAAGTAAATGTTTTCTTAGCATAGGGCCAACCAGATTAAAAATTAATGGGTCAGCGGCATCAGTAGTCACATAAGGAACAGTTGTTTCATTGAGATGAGTTCCAATTAAACTGCATTGAGAACATTGTCCTGGTGAATTGTATGACCAGGGCTTGAGTATACGGTTTTAAACTAGGGAGAGAAGGGGAGAGGGTTCAAGGTGATAGAAGAGTTAGAAATCTAAAATAAAGATCAAAACAACAGAAAAGTTTAATTATATAAATAAAGACAAACAGAGTTGGACACAGTGTTTAAAGGTAATAATACATCAGAGAATAAGGACCGTGCAAATATTAGTTAAAAAAAACTTCTATCTGAATGAACAATGCATTTACAATAAGGTAGGTGAATTAGTGGCACAAATAGAGATAAATGGTTTATATCTAATTGCCATTACAGAGACATGATTGCAATGTAACCAAGGCTAGGAAAATAAGCATTTCAGGATACACAACACTGAAACAAACGAACAGAACGGAAAGGGAGGTGCAGTCTTGATACCGCAGGATGACACAAGGACAACAGTGAGAAAGGATGTGGTTCAGAAGATCATGAATTAAAATCTTTATGAAGATTAGAAATAGCAATGATCAGAAAACACTGTTGTCAGTAGTTTATAGGACCCCTAATAGTTATACTCCTACTCAACAGAGCATTGAGGAAGAAATAAGTGTAGCTTGTAACAAAGGCAATGTAAAAATTGTGGGGTAATTGATCTCCATATAGACTGCAACAATCAAATGGGCAAAGCCGATCTGGAAGATGAATTTGTGGAATACTTTTTCACAATAATTACTTGGAACAATATGTTGTGGAACCAACTTGGAATAAAGCAATTTTGATCTAGCATCATACAACGAGGTGGGTTTAATCAATAATTTCAGCAGAAAAAAATTCCTTGGGAATAAATGTTACCAGAATATAATTAAATTCCAAGTTTGAAAGCAACATATACTAGTTGCAATCAAAAATCTTAAACTTAATTTGAGCCAATGATGTAGGTTTGAGGGGAGAAAATTCTGAACTTGTTTAGACAAATAGAAAAGACATGTAGATGAATAAACGGGAGAAATAGACAGCCAAGCAATGAGAATTTAAGGTAATTAATATCAGCGGAGAAAACATGTTGGAAAAACTTGAGGAAGTAAAATGCAACACACTTTCAGGGCCAGATGGCATCTATCTGAGGGTTCTAGAGGTGGAGCACTGTTTATGACATTCCAAACTCCCTGGATTCTACAATGGTCCCAACAGATTGGAAATTAAATGTCACACTGCTAATCAAAAAAAGGAGGCAGAAAATAGGGAATTACCCAAGATAAGGTACAGGCCAGTTAATCTAACATTAGCTATTGGGAAAATGCTGGAATTTATTATTAAGGAAGTCTTAATGCACTTAGCAGATCATAGCATGATTTGACACAATTAACATTGTTTTGCAAAAAGGAACTAGTATGAACTAGCAGGGGTAAGTGATACTGTCTCATCTATTTGCAACCTATACTAATGACTTATACGAAAAGATTGGGTCTAATATATCCATGTTTACTGACAACACAAAGCTGGGTGGAAAAGTGATCTCTGAGGAGGACAGATCTGTTATGAGATATACACAGGTTAGGTGAGAGGGTAACAAGGTGTCAAGTGAACAATAGTATGGGGAAATGTGGAGTTATTTACTTTAGATGATTTTTTTTTTAAATGGTGAGAAACCATTAAATATTGGTGCTCAGAAGGAAGTTGATGTCCTGTACGAGGTACACAGAAAGTTAACATATAGATACAGCAAGTAATTACACAGGAATGTATCGCAAAGGGTTTTGAAAATAAATGAGGGGAATTCTAGCTGCATTTGTGCAGGTTTTTGAGAGACTGCATGTGGAATATTATGCAGAGTTTTAGCACTCAAATTATTTTCTTTACCTTTTAGAGTCGTGCAAAAAAGGTTGACTAGATTCCTAGGGATAAGAGATTGTCCTACAAGAGTAGAATGAGTCTATACTGTCTGCTGTATTAAAGAATAAAAGGTGATCTCATGCAAACGTACAAAAGGGGTTGTCAAGGTAGACGCTAAGGGGCTATTTTGCCCTTGACAGGAAAGCTTGGGATGAGGGGGCAGTCTTTGAACAACGTGATGGCCATTTCAGACTGAAATGAGATTTCCTCGCTTGAAAGGTTGAGAGTGTTTGGAATTCTGTTCTCCAAATAGCTGCAAATGTTCACTAATTCATTATGTTCACAGCTGAGATCAAGACGTTTGGACTCTACAGAAATCACAGGACGTGGCGGATGGGATTGGAAAGTGAGTTAAGGCCAAGGAATAACTATGATCATCTGAATGGTGAAGCAGACTCGAGGAACCACACATCCAGTTCCTGTTTCTTAGGTATGAAAGTATTTCAGTAATTCAAACAAATCAGCATATATTTAGCACTGATTTATAAGAAATATTATACAACATTGAATTTTAGGATGCAGAAATTAATATATACTCCATAAAAAATGTAATTCTAAAAAAATCCAATCAACCTCTCAAAGAATCAATTCTGATAAAGAGCTCACTTGATTTCTCTTTCAGATTCTGATGTGCACTTCTGACAATTTCTGATTTTCACCTCAATTTTGTAATTGCCCTTTAAGTTCTCCCTACCCATTTCTTGGAACCTGTAAGATGCATGTTTTGTTCATGCTGACAGAAGTGGAAATTTCACTAGAATAGCTTTTAACATCCTCCATGCAGCAGGCACCACTGACAAATGTGGGAGAGCCATATGGCCAAATGGTCTCCTTCTGCTCCATAACACCTCTGTGCTTTGGCACACTGTAATGCTGACGTTTGGACTCATGAAGCAGTCAGCAACAAACCCAATATAATGCCAAGATATGAAAAGAAAAATCTGTGTTAAGGTAGCACCATTTACATCAGGGCACCCTGATGCTTCAGTACCAGTGAGGTACAGTACTTTTCTTAAGTGTATTCACTGTTGCAATACTAGGCAAACAGCAATCAGACATGACAACAGACATTCCATTTCAATGGCGTCGGCTGAAGGATAAATGTTAGCCAAGAAAACTCTGCAGTTATTCTTTAAGTAATGCTACTGGATGATATCCACTGAAAGGATCGAATGGCCAAGCTTTGACATTTCAGACCTCCAACAGTGCACAATGAAGTGTTAGCTTAGATTATTTTCTCTAAGTCTCTGGAATGGTCTAAAAACAATTACTTCCGACAAGAGCTCTACCATATTTACAATACACCAGATTAGACTCAGAGATTTCTACTCCAACAGGCATCTTCAGTAGAGCTACATGCAGTGGACACAGAATATGCAGTATGCACATTTGACATATTGTTACTGTATTTGTAATCGATGTAGTAAGCATGGGAACGTCCTTATCACTGTATAACCCTGGAGGATTTTCTTCAAGTCCATTCTGATCTGTCAGTTCACTAACACTGACATTTTCTATTTCATACAAATAGTAAAACATACTGCTATTATTAAGTTAAAGTTAGTGGTTACTGTAAATAGTATTTTGCTGTTCTGCCCATTAGCAACTTGAAGTTATTTAATGCATAAAGTCAAACAGGAGAAGACACATTCACTGCAAACACCAGTGCATCCTTGAGCAAATTTGAGATTTATCACAGAACACTCCCTTTGACAGGTGAAGGGAGATTCCATTACATTTGCAAAACAATTAGCGTTATGAGTTGAGAAACATTTTGCTTTCATTATGTAAACACTAAACCTACATTTGCTAAAGATTGGAAAGAGCAGTTTGCAAACAATCCAATTACCCAAAACAAAGCTGTTAACACTGAAATTTGCTACATCCACTGCATTAGAAAGTTATGCTGTTCACGAGCAGGGGGTAATATCACACGCAAATTTCCTGGGTAAACACCTACATATGAGGTGGTGCAAGTTCTGGCCTAATTGTGTTCTGAAAGTGCAGTGGGCAGCTTAAGCTCCGTTCGATGACTGAAATCCACCTGCCTGATTCTGGCACCTCTCAGGACAATGGCATGTGCCAGTCCTCCTCACAGTTCAATGGTAGTAGATGAGACCAGGCTGCCCATGAGCTCCCTCCAGATAAACACTCAGTAGCAGCTCCTCAATACGCCCCGGCCGCCAATGGGTTGACAGCCACTTCAGTCCTATGACCCCTTCTGTACAGCAGGTGGTGCCACTCATCACCTGCCGGGCCCTCAGGTGGTATAAAGTAGTAGTAGTAACCGATGAGGGAGATCGGAAGTGATAGCCCATCACCAAGATGAATCAGGATGTAAATAATGAGCACGATATTCATTTGCTTCGACTGTACAACATGTCTTTATTACTGTACATTTTGCACTGGTCACTCGTGAATAATAAAGTCATTTTGGAATAGGAACATCTAACTGGTGTGAACATATATATTCCGGTCATAAATATTGTCACAGTGCTTTTTGGGCATCGAGGGCTGCTCAGCAATCACGTACTAAGGTCGGTAGTGGTTTCAAGGACGAAAACTTGCTTGGTATTTGGCACAGGAGAAAACTGCTACATCATCAATGGCTGAACTCCTCCTGCACAATCTGATTTTGAATGGCCCTTGCAGCAATCAGAGATGAATCCTCCAACTGATCATCCTCCTCAAACGGCGGGGCCTGCAACTCCCTTTCCTCAGGCAGCAGTGGTTCCTCATCATCTATGTTGAATAGGTGGCCTTCCTGCAGTGCAAAATTGTGCAGCACGCAGCATGCTATGACAATTCGTGCCACCCTTTGGGGTGTGTACTGCAGAGCTCCACTGGATCTGTCCAGGCAGCGAAACCTGCTTTTTAACAGTCTTATGGTCCTCTCCACCACGGCTCGCGTCGCTGCCTGAGCTTTGTTGTATGCTTCCTCGGCCTGGGTTTTCGGTTGGCTCAGTGGAGGCATGAGCCACGTTTGCAATGCGTATGCCTTGTCTCCAAGAAGCCACCCTTGAACGTGGTTATCCTCGTGGAAGAGGTCAGGGAGAGTTGAGTGCTGTACAATGACAGCATCATGACAGCTTCCCGCATGCTTGGCATTTACATACAGGATCTTCTGGTGAGCATCACAGACAATCTGAACATTTAATGAGTGGAATCCTTTCCTGTTCACAAATATAAGTGGTTGTTCTGCTGGTGCCTTCAGTGCTACATGGGTGCCACCAATGGCACCTTGAACTTTGGGGAATCCCGCAATGCAACAGAACTCCTTTGCTCGTTCCCTCTGTTGCCTAGGCGTGATGCCAAAGTTGATAAATCCTGGAGCTCTGTTGAAGAGCACATCTGTGACCTGTTGAATGGCTGCCCTCACAGCTCCTTGGCTGATATTGCACATGTTCCCGGTGGCACCTTGAAAGGATCCAGTGCCAAAAAAATTCAGCGCAGTGGTCACTTTCATTTCGACAGACAAGGCTGTCCTAGCAGTGGAGTGCGGCTGAAGATCTTCACGAAGGAGTTCGCACAAATTGGCAATGGCACCCTTGGACAATCGCACTCTTCGAATGCAGAGATCCTCCGACAAGTCTTCAAAGGATCTGCGTTGCCTGTAGATACGCTGAGGTGGGTAGTACCTGGTTGGGTGGTGTCTTTTGCCATGCTGCCGTATCCGCTTGGCCTCCATTCGTTGCTGCTCCTCCTCCTCCTCATCTTCCACAATGATGGTGTAGAGAGGAATGCCCATGGGAAATGCCATAGTGTCCTCTGACTCTTGTTGGGTGATGGTGGGAGTGGGTTACAAAATGTAAGGGTGATGATGATGATGGTAGTGGTGGTGGTGATAAGACTGTTGCACCTGGAGGGATGATGGTGATGGGGGTGGGGGGGGGGGGGTGAAGATGCTCAAGTGCAAAGTCTCAGTGAGCAAGCCTGTGCAGAGATGGGGAGGCAAATTTGCTCCTTGTGGAGCCAAAAGCAGCAAACTTTGGGGAGATTGTTTGTAGGGGGGGGAGGAGGAGGAGGAGGGGAATCCTCAAACCTTCCAATTGCCTCACATCCGCCTGCGGTCACGTGAACGCAAGAAGTTTCCCAGGGTGCAACAGCGGCGTAACATCAGGAAATTCCCGGGCGCAGCGGCGACGGCCTCTCAGTCGTAATGTGTGGCTCCGCCCGGTCCAGGACACGGCCCCTGCCGCCCAGCCAGACACCACACTCCGGTGCCGCGCTTTCCCGCCGCGCCCTCTCCCTCCGCTGGCACAAATTTTCGGCGTAACGGCGGGAACACGGCCACCGGCGGCTTGGCCCCACCCCCTCCCTGAGACCGCGCCCATCCTGCCCGGAAACTCTTGGCTGCGCCTGCGCCGCCCTGTTATCCCCACCCTCCCTGAGACCCCGCCCCTTTGCTGGGCGGAGCCTCTTCCCCCTCACCGGGTGACGGCCGCAGCTGCGCCTGCGCCGCCCTGATTCTCCTCCCCGTTCTCCATGGAGATCGCCAAGCTGCGCCTGCGCTGCTGTTGCCCCGTTCACCCCTGCTGAACCCCTCACATCCCGGAATGTTCCAGATCAGACGCCGGGAGGTCAGTGGAGTGTGATTATGTGTTGGCGGATTAACCGTTCGGCCTGTGTACTCCTACGATCTGTGCATTTTTAAAATATTAATTAGGGGACACTCCCCGGTGTCCGGGTAGTGAGTTGAAGAAACCCGGAGCGGTCGCAGCTCTGTTTACCCACGGGCTCTTCCGAGGCTGCTGTTCGTGCTCAGAGCTTTGACGGCGATGTAAAACCCCTAGGCCCTGTCCTTGCGGCCTGGAATTAAGGTAGAAGACTAAGGGAAGTGTGGGTGTGAATCTGGAGCTCTGCTGCATTCACAAAACATCTAAACAGTGTTTAGATATTCACCCGCGTCGTCACAGCTTGCAAGCTTGAAAATGGGACTAGTGCAGTGTAGACAGATCTTTGCGGAGCAGAGCGGGCACGATGGGCTGAATGGCCACCCTCCATGCGATAAACGCCTGAGTTTGCGTAATGGGGGATGCACTGAAAGCAAAATGTGCTGGAGATCACAGCGGGTCAGGCAGCATCCATGGAGAGCAAACAAGCTAATGTTTGGAGATAGTAGGAACTGCAGATGCTGGAGAATCTGAGATAACAAGGGGTCTAGGCCCGAAACGTCGGCTTTCCTGCTCCTCTGATGCTCCTTGGCCTGCTGTGGTCATCCAGCTCTACGCCTTGTTATCTCTTATTTAAGCTAATGTTTGGAGTCATGTAGACTCCAAATGTTAGCTTGCTCTCTCTCTCTCCATGGATGCTGCCTGACCCGCTGTAATCTCCAGCACTTCCTGTTTCCAGTACAGATTCCAGCATCTGCAGTAATTTGCTCCTGCAGTCTGTTTTGGGGATTCCTGCTGCCACGATTTTACTCCGTGTTTTCCCCCGTACAGCCATTCCCATTAGATACCCCCCCCACTATAAGCACCCACCACTCTACCCTCTGCAACACCTCCTGGAGCATGGTTAAGGGATGGAGTGCTGCCTGTTAGGGGCAAGTGTCTTGGTAACCATGTTTCTGGTATTGCATTCTGTGGTATCTTGAATAAATTTGCTCTTGCTTCTAAACCATGCTGTACGGATACGTGCGTACCTGATATCTCTTGGTCCTTTTTTGTTTAATGCATGTGATGCAGGGATTTTTTAAAAGAGGGGTTGAGTCCCCCAGTGGGGTGTCACAGCTGAAATCTTGGAGCTCCAGGTCTGTGGTAGCAGTGGCTACCATAGAACTCTGGCAGAGTTAAAACGCTTGTACTCCCGTTCACACAGGCCCCAAAACCCACTTATCACTAAGGGGCTATGACAGATTTCTAGCCTAAAAATGGGGATCACGATAGGAAAAGGTTTATAGGCATTGATGAATTATTGTGCTTGTTTGAGTACTGTGGATTGACAGGAAATTTGGAAACAGAGATGTTTGCCTAGGGTGACTGGGCAAAACAACTTTTAACAGATTTTATGTACTACTGTTGCTATGTTAGGATATATATTATGTACATATGCAATTTCTATTGGAAATGCGATAAATCGTTTCCTGGTTCCCTGCCACCAGTTCCCCAATCCTCTACACTGGACCTGCAATGTTACCATTGCATCAGTGCTTCAGCTGAAATTTTCAAAAACTTCATATTGCCTCTAACATAAAGCCCAATTTTAAAATAAATGTACATTATGCATTCTCATGTTGTACACCTTTACAAACAGGTATGACATTAAAGATTGAAACAGGATTGATATTTTGGTTATTGCCGATTGTATAATCTGTACTACCTTTGACTACCGGATGAATATTAACCGAATGGTCACTTGGCCACATGAAGATAGATATGTGAACTTTGTTAACTGGCAGTTTGAACACACTTTAGGGTCCTCAATTCCTTTATCTGCTAACCTCAACCCACTGTCCTTGGACTTAAGTAAGTGGTTTGTGCCTGAATGTGGGTATGCGTGCATTGAAGAAATACTCCACATAGGTAAATATATTGGTTTGAGCATTTCCTAAACACAATGATTTGTTATCTGGGTGTTGTACATCTGAATGATGATAAAAACACAAAGCAGAGCAAAGTGTGAACCAAGTCAGTGTTATTGGACTTGAATTTCATGTGTGATACATTAACGTTTTGTTCTTGTCCAATTTGTCACTACAGAGTGAACCTTTCACACTTCGACAATGGCTACCACCACCTCCTTTGTACATTTCCATACATTGCGAAAGCGACAACACTTCAAAAGTCCTTCACCTAACTTAATATTCTATTCCTTCTATAACTTGGTTTTATTTTGCTCATGAAATACCTTAAGATATTTTTATTACATTAAAGGTGCTATAGGGATGTGAATAATTTCTTTGTGATGCTCTGAAATTGTGGTAAGCACTTTAAAAATGCAGGTTCCTTTTATCTAAAAAGAGAAATAGTGGTTGGCTGAGAAAGGGAGAGCAGTTACCACAGAATCTTGTTCCTAACAGCATCCAATTGACTGGAAGATCCAGGAAGCTTGGCAAGTTACTACTTAACAGCTTCTACTCTGATGCTACACTGGGATATTGTAGAAATATCAGATGAGTGATTCTTCCTAAAGAATCTGAAGAGGGCAGCAAAGACCAGGGCAAGAACAGCCACTTTGCCCAGAGCTGTCAATCTGGTTAGGTAGATGAGATATTAGGTCTGTTTACTGTACTTTATCAGAGCATTGGTGAGACTATATCTGGGGTACTTTGTACAGTAGTTATGGAAGGATGTTAATGCAATGGAAGCAGTTCAGAGAAGGTTGATTTGACTAATACTAGTAATGAGCAGATTGCCTAATGAGGAAAGGCTAGACGGGTTAGGCTTTTATTCTCTGGAGTTTAGAAGAATCATAGACTTCCCTACGGTGTGGAAGCGGGCCATTCGGCCCATTGAGTCCACACCAGCCCTCTGAACAGCATCCGACCCGGACTCACCCCCCAACCGTATCCCTGTAACTCTGCATTTCCCAGGGCTAATCCATCTTGCCCCCACATCCCGGGACACTATGGGCAGTATACCATGGCCAGTCCCTCTAACCTGCACATCTTTGGATTGTAGGAGGAAACCCATGCAGACATGGGGAGAATGTGCAAACTCCACACACAGTCATCGGAGGTTGGAACTGAATCCATGTGCAGCAGTACTAACCATTGATCCAACATGCCACCCCAAGAGTCAGAGCTTACTTAATTGAAACATATACAGTCTTGATCAGCGGGATGTTGAAAGGATGTTTCCACTTCTGGGAGAATTTAGGCCTCAGTCATAGTTCAAAAATGAAGAATTGCTCATTTAAAGCAGATGAGAAAACTTTTTTTCTTCACAGTGGGTTGAGAATCTTTAGAATTGTTTTCTTCGGGGAGGCAATTGCCTAGTGGTATTATCGCTGGACTGTTAATCCAGAGACCCAGATATTGTTCTGGGGACCCAGGTTCGAATCCCGCCATGGCAATAAATATCTAGAATTAACAGTCTAATGATGACCGTGAATCCATTGCCGATTGTCAAAAAAAACCCCGCTGGTTCACTAATGTCCTTGAGGGAAGAAAATTGCCATCCTTACCCAGTCTGGCCTACGTGTGACTCCAGACCCACAGCAATGTGGTTGATCTTAACTGCCCTCTGGTTAATTAGGGATGGGCAATAAATGCTGCCTAGCCAGCGATACCTCATCCCATGAATGAATAAAGAAAAAAAAAAGGCAGTGGATGCAGAATCTTTAAAACATTTTTTTTAGGGCAGAAGTAGATTCTTGATGGCCAAGGAAGTGAGTGATTATTGGGGAAATGTAGGAACGTAGAGTTAGGGTTAAATCAGATCAGCCATGTTGAGTGCCATCTGGCACAAAAGTGAGAGTTTGGTAGTATAGGAGACTCCCAGGAATATGACCTACTTGAAATGACTTTCAGCACTGTATACCAGAGAAGATGACAACACATATGGAATTGAAGAGGAATAGTGCAAGAAGGAGACTTTCAGATTTTGTGGACATTAGAGCTGGTTCTGTGGTAGAAGTGACTTGTTGGAGGTTGCACTTCTATAGAGATAGGACCCAGTGTGCTTGCTGAAAATACTTAAAAATGTAAATATGAGCACTTACTCCACCAGTCAGTAAGGTCATGGCTGACCTTTGACCTTCAGTCCACTTCCCACCTAACTGTCTGACCACAATCATCGACCTTTCTACAGATTTCGGCCTTTAATAAACATGGTTAACATTTCAGGTTGATTACATTTCATTAGAACTGGGAAACATTAGAATAGATTTTAAGTAGGTCAAATGGGACAGCATGAATATTAACAAAAGGGAATTCCTGTGATATAGCAGAGGATGGTAAATGACAAAAGAGTTGGTGCAGAACCAACAAAAGTGGCAATGAGACAAGTGAAAACAGAAAGGTATCTAGAGGAGTTGTGAATGACAGAACAATGAACATCTATGTCTGAAAGCAAAGACATTAGAAAAACAAGATTAAGACTGGGACATGGAAAAGAAAGACAACAAGATTGGGGCAGCAATTACAGTCTAAAATTGTTGAGATGAGAGTTGCATCCAGAAGGCTGTGAAATGCCTATTCCAAACATAAGATGCTGTTCCTCCTTATATGTGGGGTTGGTGCCAGAGAACTAGAGTATTGTGAATGTTAAAGCCCTGTTCATATAAGGGATAGAAGAGCAACCAAGCAGCCACAGCCAGACTGTCAAATGTCACAGATGGGGAAATCTATAAAACCAATAATCCATGGAAAAATTAATGTGTGTTAA